TTTTGGAACATTGCTATCATGTCACCTTTGGTCCTTTTCACTAGACTAGACATACATACACAATTGCAACCGTTCTTCATATGTTTTAGCCTCCAGCCCCCTAATCATCTTTGTTGCTCTTCTCTGCACTTAAGAGTCTCAACATCTTTTTCATAATACGGTGACCAAAACTGCATGCAGCATTCTAAGCGTAAGATCAGTATAAGATAGAACAATTAATCAGTGGAACAACTCGCCTCCAGAAGTTGTGAATGCTCCAACACTGGAAGTTTTTAAGAAGCTATTGAATAAGTATTTGTCTGAAGTGGTGTAGGGTTTCCTGCCTAAACAGGGGGTTGGACTAGAAGACCTCCAAGGTCCCTTCCAACTCTGTTATTCCATCTTCTATATTTATGACAGTTGCAGGGTTCCCGAGTCATGGGTGGTCTTCCCAAGGCATTATAAAGCGGTAGTAACATTTCCAGCTTCATACTCATGAAGCGACTCTCTCGGAGGAAGAGGAAGGAGAGGAGGAAAGGAGGAGGTTGGGAAGAAGGAAGGAGTAGGGTTGTTGCAAAATAAGATAGAGATGTGGGGTGGCAAGAAAGTGATCCCAATTGTGTCTTTTATATTCTTAAGGGGATTGTGATAAAGGCTAGAAGTCAACAGATAAATGTATATTTATGAATGTATATGGAAAGAAAAAAATGAAATTTTATATATATTAGAAAAAAGAACCGACTCTCCCTGCGTACCCGAGCTTTCCCCCCAGCCTTTGGCCCTTTCCTCCCAAAGGCAGAGCTGAGACCCCCGGTTGCCCTTGGGGTCCTTCTCCTAGAGAGGGTTGCGGTTGCGCCCTATCCTACTGCGCCCCAACACTTCCCGCTGACTCCCCGAGCGCGCGTTTGACAAGGCGCAAAGCGGCTGCTCGCTCCGACTTCCCAAGTCCGGGGCCGCGTCGCGGAACTTCCAACCCTTTCCCCGAACCCCGCAGAGTTTGCGTTGCAGAAGGGGACGGCTGCACTCTGCGTATGGCCAGAGGCCTCCTCTCTCGCGCCTTGCACCCGTCCCGGTTCCTTACCGGCACCGCCTCTCCCCGGGTGCAAGCGAGAGCCCCCCGCCATCGCCCTTCCTTCCTGCCCGCCCTCGGGGCTTGCTCGGGAACCGCCCTCGGCCATTCCGTGCGCAACGGGGACGGGGCTGAGCCGCCCCACTTTCGTGCGCCCGGCCCGGGAATGCCGGTGCGCCAGGAGGGGCCGGGCAGCAGGCAGAACCAATGGCCGTTTGCGCACCGTCTCTGGCTGAACTCCAGCGCTTGGTGGATGCGGAAGCGGAGCGGCTGGATTCACTCAGCGCAGGCTTTGCAAGTTGCAGCCGGCTCAGCCCGCTAGCTAAGCTGTAAACAACGGTTTGCAAACCAAGTGTTGCAGTTGCGTAACTTTTTAAAGCCCTGGACAGTCGTTGGGCTTGGAAATCGGCGGATGGCAATTCAACCAGGGCTGAATTCATACAAGTGTAGGACGTTAAAACCCACCGTCTCCTAGAACAATGAAATCTCCTGGGAAATATGGAAAAGGCAGAATATTCTATTTCACTGGATAAGAAATGGAGAAACATGTTTTTAGGCAGGAATCAGACTCACTCTTATTTTATTTTTTATTTTAGAGTTTTAGAATACTTGAGTTAATATGAATTATGCTTGATGACTGTGGAAGAGAT